CACACACACACACACACACACACACACACACACACACACACACACACTAAACTGCCCGGTAACACGCATGAGGCAACACCAGTTTGACAAGAGCAGGTACTTTCTGTTCGCTCCTTTCCTTTGAGCGCTCAAAAGTTTCCTTCAGTTTGATATGGAGCACATTTGAGGCATGAGGGGGGGGGGGGGGATATCTCCAATCCCTCCACCGCTCTGTTTTTTTATTCCACTCTCTGACAGCTTTTTCTTCCCTCAGCCAAACCTTTACTCCTTGACCTCGTTCCCTCACAGCAGGCTCCTCTCCTCACTCCCCCCCCCATCCTTCGTGACCTGTCCTCCGGCCCCGCTCCCTCCCACCTTTCTCCCCTCCATCTCCCCGCAACAGATCACAATCTGTTTACAGCCCCTCCGGCGCACTCCACAACTCTTCTGGCTCCAATTGCAGATCTATTTATACCAGACAATGCAGAAGGGCCTGGCGTCTCTTTTGATTCGGAGGCTCGGTTCGCCGAGCGTACATCCCACGGTCCGACTGCCTGAGCTCCACGCTCGTTAGGCTTAATAGACGTCACACTGAGCCGAGCCGTTTTTTAAAGCACGCAAAGAAGATGACAAGGAAGAGGAGATGTTCTGCACAGGGTTTCACAGTGAATTTAGCAGCAGGGTGGGATGAGAGGCAACAAGTAGCACATCTGTTGATGGTGGAAAATAGCTGCGGTCGGCTCACTGATTGGTCTCCGAGGGTGGGTTGCGTGAACATCCGCCTACGTTACTTTCTCTCTCTCTCTCTCTCTCTCTCTCTCTCTCTCTCTCTCTCTCTCTCAGAGTTTCGCCTCCATGCAAACTCTCGGAGATTGATAACCCTGGCTGTGAGCTCGCAGCAAAAGGCCGATTGTGATCACCGTGACCTCTTAAAAAAAAGCGAGACAGAACGCTGACAGGGCGGGGGGAGCGGGGCAGGGAGGGCGAGTCTCGCTCTGCCGAGAAAGCGAGCTCCGACTTGTCGCGGCCCTTTCGGTGACGTCGCACGGGCGGTCTGCAGCGCCTAACGGGGAGGAGACGGGTGGATGCGAGGCACGTGTGAAGGGTGAGGTGTAGGGCGTGCAGGAACAGGTCCAGGTGAGTATTTACACTGTATATGCTCGAGTCCCGTAGTCCAGTCTTCAATCCATGCAGACTGGTGAAGAATTCAGACTATGTACCACCCCTCTGTTCATTTCCTGTCGCTGTTTTCAGCACCAGTTCAACAGTCCTCAGGTCAAGGTAATGGTCCGGCGCATCGCGGGCACAGTTATTTCCAAACGACTTCCGCCGCTTCGCGCGCAAAGCCAAACTCGGGTGTTTGCCTTTGAGGCCGTGAAGCTCCCGGCAGGTGCAGCGACCGACGCTTTGCATCCCAAAAGAAACGCGTCTTTTGCATTCACGTCAAAGCGTGCAAGACTTTTATTGCATTCCCTTACGAGGAAGCAGCGTGAGCGCTCTTAGACAGGTGCACATCCAAACAGTCGGGGGTCACGCCCCCACCCCCCCCCATCAGCTCTGTATCCAAGACAACAGATTTGGAGAATATCTGATGAAGTCACTCCAGTGAATTTCAATATTTTATCAGCCTCGCCGGAGGCGCGCAGAACACAACCCCAACAACAACATGAGAGAGAGCGTGCCTCAGAAAGAAAGAAAGGATACTTTGGGTCAAAGTGAGGAAGAAGTTGTTTTCTGTTTGTTCCTCCAAAGCAACAGACCAGGCTGAGTGTTGAACAGCAGCTTCCTGCTTCCTGCTGCTCTGTGGCATCGTAGAAACACGGAGCTAAAGAGCACCAACCTACTAAATCCATTATTTTTTTTATGAAAACCATGTTCTCTGTGGTGATGAATGAAAAGCACGTCCTCATTATGGAATCAGATAATGCATTATGCATATATTACCTCATCTCTCGTTTCTCCTTCAGATTACCTCATCTCCATCTGTGCCCCTTTCATTTGTGTACTCTACACACAGCTCCGTCTCTGCTGCCTCCTGTTCCACACTGTTCGCATGGACTGGAGGTGGAGGAAGCTCTTGTAAATACAGTGCAACACTTTGTGATGTTTTTGACTTCCCGCAAAGGAGACAGAATACTTGCAGCAGATGGGGATTTGGAGAGAGAAGCTTATTTTCACCTATTATATATATTGTTTTTTCAGTCCAAGCTGTGATTTGTTTTGGGACTATCTCCGTGCCTTCGGGGACTTGCAGCAAACACATCACCAAGATATTCACAATTTACTTGTTTGTGTTTTGCTGTATATTTTTGCCGGCCATTCCTCTCGAGGCGTTTCAGCTCACAAGCGGAGCGCCAACATTCAGGCGGCTGCACTTCCATTCAACAAAATGGCACTGCATAAATCAAGCGTACAGGAGTCAGCGTGGACTCTTCTTGGGACTTATTGTAATCCACTGGCAATTAGGAAAAAACATGTTTGTGAATGTCACAGAGAACAGGTGGTGTTTAGAGTGAGGACACTTCAATTATTTAAAAAAACTGAATGGAAATCAGACACATTCTAGGAACAAGCACCTATGCATGCAAAGTTGCACAGGATGTGGTTAATATTGAAATCACGTAGTGCACACACACACACACACACACACACACACACTGTCTTTGGTTTACAGAAGCTCATGCACACACACACACACACACAGACGCACACACACACACACAGTGGCCAACCTGTTGGGATGTGGTTGAGCGCCGACGTCTTCAGAACCTCCAGCGGCTGCTCCTTCCCCAGGATCCCCTCTGTGGGAGAGAGAGCACACTCCGCTTCAAATATGGTCCGCAACATCGAGGCGAGCTTCTCCCGCGACAAAAACGTGCTAATTCAGGCGGTTGAAGCCGCGGTCCGAGCGCGCGGGCTTCAGGTCATCTGCAGAGCTGCGAGCGCACGCCACGCCGCGGCTACCGCCACCTGAGTGACTGCCCGACGCATGACCGGCTGAAGAGAGCGCGCTGTGAATGGGCGAGGTGCTCTAAAATAAGCCCGAAAAATCTGAGGGGGATGCCGTGGGAGCAGCCGTCATCAGCCCCCCGCGTGCTGGTGTGTGAGTTCGGTGCGCGAGAGAGGAGGGATGGTGGGGCTTGACTGATACTGCCTGTGCTCAGCATAGCAAATGTGGCTGGCAGAAGCAGCGGAGAGGGATGAAGGGGGGGGGGGGGCGATAGGAGGGAGGGAGGGGAGGGGAGAGAGGTAAAAATAGCTCACCCTTTTGTGTATAACAGCACATGCGGAGAACGCACACCCCAACGCACACACACACACACACATGCAGACACAAAAGACACACTGCTGTTGCCGGTCTCCTGTGTCTGTGTGCTTATGCATGCGTGTCCGTGTGTGTGCGTGTGTGTGTGTAGGCTGTAATTATAGTGGCAACATGAAAAGGCTTTTGTAGCTGCCGAGCCCAGGGAAGACATGGCTATAAAAAGCAGAGAGACAGAGAGGGGAGGAGGAGGAGGAGGAGGAGGAGGAGGACACATCGGGGGAGAGGGGGAAGACAGAGGTAAGGAGGGGAGAGAGAGGAGAGGGAGGTGCTGAGAATGAGGAGGAGGAAAAACAACGAAAAAGGCGCAAAAAAGGGGAGGAGAGGGGAGAGGATGGAATTGACATGCATCGCGGCTGCACACCAATCTGTGACTACTGACACACACACTCTCTATATGTGCATGTATTTTTTGTAATCATGAGCACCTGATCCATATACACACACACACACACACACACACACACACACATATATATATATTATGAGCACAAGGCTGGAAGACATCTGAGGCGCTCAAACATGCAATTATTCCTTTGGATGGAGATGAAAACCCATGTAAAATCCCTTTGGAGGAATAAAAGAGAGGGAAACAGGCGAGCGTCTCACTGTGCATGATCTATTTCTGGAATTCTCTCTGGACCAGACTGGCACGCACACGCACACACTTAATTAGCCATGAAGCTGGAGGATGTGTCGTGCGCTGATTGTGTGCGTGTTCCGTCTCGCACCACCTTGCATGAATGACTGCACCCATGATGCACCAATCCCTCTGAGGACTTGGGTGTGGACTCATCACGGTTGATCCTGTTCACACGAATGTCAACGCACTTTTATTCCCCTTAATCCTCTCATCGCTGCCAGATATTGCTGCCTGACGTAATAAATAAAAAAATGTAAACGAGACAGGTCAAATCTGCGGCTTCGTGGTCACGTCTCTACCTCCCCCAAAACAAACACACCAATGACAGTTGATATCTCTACATTCAAATGAAACACACGCTGCCGGGTTTTGCAATGTAAATGTGTGATGACACCTGTGGCTTGGGAGTAATTCTACGCTGGGTTTTTATTTTGCGCAAAGTTACTGGTTGCATGCTTTGCATCTCCAACTTAAGTGTGGGGGATTGGGGGGGGCGTCTTTTGTCTGCGGTTAGACAAACGGCGTATAAGCTTTCAGTCCGGACCGCACAGTTGAAACCTGAGACGCACGTGGAGGCAGCACAGGTGTGTACAAACACACACACATCAGTGAGTCGGGGGGGGGGGGGGGAAACAAACACAACCACCACACACTTGCAGAGAAGTGCCCTATGCCTTGGCAACGGGGTCCATCAATCCTGAATGTAGCCTAGTTACCCAGCAGCCCCCCCCCCCCTCTTCCCTCCCTCCCTCCTTGCTCTCTTTCTCTCCATCCTCATCTCCTCTTGGTCCCACCGGGCAAGCATCGGGAGACAGGGAGCTATAAATAGCCTCGGCGAGCCTCGGGCAGGGAGTCAGTCGGCTCGAGCTAATGCAGCTACCGCTCGCTGAAAACACGCGTGTTATGATCGGGGGGAGCGATGCAGGAGCGCTGGGCTAAACGCTGGAGCTCTCCGTCTGCTGCATTGCTGAATGTAGTTTTGTGACAGCAGAGAGAGACATGGTTGGGGAGGGGGGGGGTCCACTCCGGCCTGCATGCTCCATGTTGACAGAGGCCTTTGTTGTGTGGGAGAAATGAGATGTCTGTCTGTGCCACCGTGGCGGGGAGGAAGGGAGGAAGGATGCTCCGGCCTCATTACATTCAGCACACTTCCGTTTCTGGCTCCTTCGTCCAGGGTGACTCCGGCGAGCAAGGTGAACCCGACAGGAACAATACGATTAATCAAACACGCTCTCTCCTTGAAGAGACTTTTTTTCCCCCTCTGGGTCGCAAATTTGCTTCCCCGAGGGCAACCGGCTGACGTCACGGCGCCCGATAACAGAGCATGGGTGACCCCTGTGTGAGCCTCCGACCCTCAGTTCACGCTGGGAGAGTCGAGGAAAACGGCGGTAATGCATGGGAATGGTGTGTGAGATGCTCCGCAGCTAATATCCACACAGAGTAACAGGTGAAACATTTCATATTTGGTATTTTGGTGTTTGGCACTGTGGCGCGCCATGTCGAAAGGCAAGGACAGGGCTCCGAGGGGGCAGTGTAAACCGTAATTGCCGCCGACAGCTCGTTGGCAGAACACAGTGTGTCCCGTTTCTCGGCTGGGACCAAAGACGCGTCCCGTTCCTTTCATTAGCTCATGTTCCCTATCCGCTGTCTCTGTCCCAGTACCAATTAAAAACAGAGCTTTTCTAATGTTCCCCGCTCATAAACCCCGTCTAAAGGCCACGATGGTTTGCTGTTGGAGGGGGATGGGTGTGGCGGGATGAGACGGGTGCTGCGCCCCCATTTGCACAAGGACAAAGCAGAGCTTGTGCATGTAGGGGGTCGGCCGTTGCACAAGAGAACCCCCCCCCCCCCCCCGGTTTTGTTCTGGGATGGACTGTTTGTCATGTTCCGCCAAGTTGGTGGCACATGGGAGAGGACTGGAGAAACTGTCTGGCTGGCAGCAGCCTCTGTTCACCGGGTTCACCAAGGGTGGGAACGCGCCGCCGAGGTGCATTTTCTGCAATCTGCCACAATTTTTTTTGTAAAATCTGCTTCTGCAGGAGAGAAACAAAACGTGTCAGCACGAGCGGACGGCAGACAAAACGTGACAACGAGGCTCGGAATAACCCTCGTGCCTCGCATCGCATTGACCGCCGCTTTGTGTCGTCCCCACGCAACGAACCGCTCAGTCGTGAAGAGGAGAATCAACCCGGGAGACCCAATATAATGATTGTTTGTTCGCCATGCGTGCACATGCGCATATCATGCGTGTGTGTGTGTTTCTAAAAATAGACACAGGGATAAGCCGGGCCCTCTTTATTGCAGCGAAAACTTTTAACCCCTTCACCCCAGGATTTGAGCAGCGCGATGAGCGATTGCGTGCGTTTGGATAAGAGGATGAAAAAGGGCACGCGATGAGAGAAATGCACATTTTAATGCATGAACCATCACACACTTTGGCCTTGACAAAGTACTTTTCACTGTATTTTAAACCTACTTTTTCACAGTTTTATAGCTCAGAGGAACCACAGCCGAACTCTTCTGGACCAGTTAGGAATTATGTGTCTTGCTCAAGGACACCTTCCTCACTTTTCTCTTCCTGGGGGAAAGGGAAAGTGTTTCTCATTCACTTTTTTTTTTTTTTCCCCTCCGTCTACCAGCCAGTACAAGCCAGTGATCTTCCAGTCTTCGAGTCAGTTCCTTAAATCTCCGTGCCGCTGCTGCCGCGTTAATAGTATCTGGCAGGTGTAATAAAAAGAAAATCCATAACATGGATTTATAGGCGTCCAGAGATCCGTACTGTGCTGCGGTGTTTATCAAATGCACGGGGTGAGACCCGAAGATGGGCCGCCAAATTACTCTCACAAAGGGAGAAACATGAACATATTAGTGAAAATGAAGCTTTCCGTCTGTAGTCTCACAGTCACAACAATCAGCGTTTGTATCTATGACTCCACCACAGTTCTCTTGAACCAATGATCACACATCTAATCTCCACTATAGCGTCTCCAGGACATACTCTGCTACACCATTCCTGTTGTGTTCCCAGGCTGTATAAACTTAGAAACGGCTGCGCTTGTAACTTAGATATCGCCGAGCCTTCGAGGAAGGGAGCACCGTGTCAAGTTCACCGTTTCAGAGCCGTAAAAGGCGCTCACGCCCACACACACACACACATACACCGTGCACAACAAAGCAGCAGAAATCTAATCTGAACACTTTGTATCCTGATGCATGACGGCTTTTGATAGTGGATCTTGGTGGAATGAGCTCATTTTACATATTTGCAGAAAACAATTTAAAGTTCAAGCCTCTCATTCATTAATAATTACTTGCAGGAATGTGTGTGTGTGTGTGTGTGTGTGTGTAGATGACTCATGTGCACACCCAGTTCTTGCTCCAGTGGTAAACTTTCCTGGAAAGACGGCGCACTTCTGACTAAAACTAAAACCAAATCGTTGCCAGCGAGTGGCATTCCCCACCTGAGGAGGCCTCCACTCATCACCCCGCCTATAATGGTGCTGACACACCGACGTGAGGGATGAGTAACGACCATCTTTTTATATTCTATATTCTCCATATTCGGCTTAGCTGCTTATCAGTAGCGATTCATCCATGAGCGTGACATTTACAGACGCCGCATGCTCAACGCGTTAGCTCATTGCTAAGCACAAGTGTAAAACAAATGTCGGATCGCAAACGGAAGTGAAACAGAGCCGCGGATCTAAAAAGTCTCGTTGTTCACCACGAGAACAAAGCCAACGTTGTTTAATGACATTCATTAAAAAAAAGATGTCGTCGGCAGACAACCCCGATGCGACCTGAAGCGGCGGGATCAATTTCCTTACATCTTTTTTCCTCAAAAGAACAATTATACCAGACAAATCAAATGGATGCATCTCTTTGAACAGAACAGACAACTGACCCTGCTCATTCTCACTTCTGAAAATATCCCTTCAGGCAGCCTGACAAGCGCCACAGTGTTGCACATTTATTCACATTTCATATCTTTGACTGTCTCTCTCTCTCGTTCTCTCTCTGTGTTTGTGCACCGGCATCCAACAAGTGTGTCTCTAAGCTGTCATTCAGGACAAGCAACACCTCAAATTGACGCCCACGCGTGGCAGCACCCTGAGGACCGAGGCGGTCTCCTCTGAAGGCTTTTTCAGAGGCAAACAAGACAGTGAGAAACGGCAGCTGCTGGTATGAGTCGTCTCTCCCGGATACACAGAAGAGTCGCCGCTATTTTTGGTTTTTTTTGGTGAGAGGTGAGCGAACAGGCGTGACGGGCAGGCGGTGGGGTTTTAGGATAAGCAGGGCGTTCATTTTGTCAGCCCTGTGTGAAGAGGAGACGAGTGAAGGTGTTAAGGGACGAGGATGGCTCGTCTAATGACGACGGTTGAGCCGCGCTAATCCGAGGTTGATTTAACAATGTAATGAGATTGGCCCTCACAGGGAGAGTGAGGCGCCTTCTCTGCATCTTAGAGAACGAACACATGTGCACACATGTGCTCGGCGTACTCCGTAGTGTGCTCAGATGTTGGAGGGCCGAGGCTGCAGCTCGTTCGCTGGTTATACCTCGGCTGTGGTATTTATACCGCGCACACACTCCCAGGTGTACAAAGTAAACACGGTCAACACCGTCAGGTACCACAGCGGCCGGGGCAGGGAGCGGACCTCTTCATCTGCCAGCTGCTCGCCGAATAATTCATCAGCTCGCTGCAACACGAGCTCCTAAACTGAGCTTTGATTGGGTGTCAAAGAGGAGCGTAGACTCTCCTAATGAGCCCGGTGATGGACTTGTTCTCTCGTCCCTCTGGAGCTCATTCATATTGAATCAAGCCAATTAACAGTCATAAAGCCAGATTAAAATGTTTTATTGCGTCTTAGCGAGCCGAGGTCTGACAGACTAAAGAAACACAAAGATGAATGTGCCGACGTAGATCTCACCTTGGTGGCTGTGTGATGTCATCGCTGACAGGTCGGTCGGGTGGGCGTCCACGCCGCACGGAAGGCGAGCGCCCGGCTTGGTGTGTGTGTGTGTGTGTGTGTGTGTGCAGGAGCAGGTTTAATTTACAAGACGGCAATCAGGAAGCTGTAATCATGCCAAAACGGTGGATGTCCAGGAGTGTGTGTGTGTGTGTGTGTGTGTGTGTGGGTGTTCAGGTTGATCCAACACGGTCAATGGTCCCTTAAGGCTGGAAACAGGAAGCAAACGTCAAGCAGCAGCAGCAGCCAATCCCCATCAGGCTTTTAAATGTGGCTGCACCAATCAAAGAGCCAGATCGTTGTCTGGCAACCTATCAGAGAGGATAAAAAAAAAAGGGCCGTGAGGTTTACAGAATTTATAAAAAAACAAAAAGGGATCAGAGAAAAAGCTGTATAAGTGCATCTCTGTTAATGACACACACACACACACAGCTCATATGTATAGTATTGATCTTTCAGTGACACTAATGATGACTGTTGACTGAAGTCTTGAATTCCACTTACAGTATAGAACTGATATGGCTCATCTGTAAATGCAAAAATAACTCTACCCATCAAATCAATTATATGTTCTAAGCCTGGATTGAAATGCTGAATAAGCAAGAACAGACTTTAAAACTTATTTTTATCGACACCTTCCCAACATTTTATTTCTTGCTTTTTAATCTGGACAATTATGGACTCCTGCTTTTTAAAATACACCCCAAGTTTTGTTTTTTTTTTGGTTTAAAGTAAAACACTGTTGCCGTGCAGATCCAAGAAAACCGCCAAAAACTCAATACGACCTCAAGTTGGAGCTCGTGCTTACACTGCAAGAAACCTGTAAACCAATCGGGCAGTAAATTGCCGGTCCCGGACAGTTTCTTTTTGACTGGGGCGCTCCGACGTTGAGAGAAAATCTGGAAAAAGTCTGATGTATTACTTTCACTGTAGTCTCATGAACATGTGTACTTTACAGAGCAGGAACCTTTGATTATTCTATTTGTTTCAGAGACAAATGATCTTTTCTTTGTTTCTGTAAGTAACTATTTGGTCTTTTGGCTGTTCCTGGAAATACATTATTGTTCTTTTCTTTCTTTTCATGGGGCAGCCTGAATTCCCAGAGCCCGGAGCAGCAGTGTCAGATGTAATAACGGCTCGAGACAAAAGCATCACATCGACTTTAGAAGGGTTAAAACTGCCCGAGGGCGAAGTGTGGGGGGGGGCAGCGTGCATGTTGACGCCCTTGTGTGTGTGTGTTGGCAGAGGTCTCAGAGGTCCTCTAAAGCAGGACGGATGCATGTGTGTGTGAGTGTGTGTGTGTGTGTGTGTATTTAAAGGGGGGGG